TGGTAACTCTCCAGTCCGCGAGCGCCTTCTTCACCGTTTCGATAGCGATGCTTGCGCCTATGCAGGCCCGCATGGTGTCCTTGACGTCGCACTTCCAGTCTTCTTCGATGGCCGGCGCTTGGAATGTCTCACCCCGAGAGTTCTTGATGAAGGTACCATTGGCGAGTGTGGCTTCCCAGGCTTTGCGGGCTTCTGAAATAGCCTTTGAGGCACGTTCTAAGACAATTTCATCGCTGTCTCCCTCCAGAATCGCTTCCCGGCGATACTCTTCGTACGGCACAAGCTCCGGCAGGCTGATAGGGATGAAAGGCTTCATTCGAATTTCGTAGCGCAATCGCTCGCAGGAGTACGCTCCCGGTGCAGCGGCTGTCGGCAGAAGATTGTGCCGAGCGAGAAGTACATACAGAGCATGCAGGGATATTGCAAAGGCATCTATAGCAACAATATGTGTGGTGAGTCTCTCGAGGAGCCGAAGGGTCTTGTGAAAAGCGGACTGCCGCTCGGCTGAGTTGCACTTCATTGCAGCCATAGCGGCCAGATTTCGTTTAGCGGCAGCGACTGTAAATGTGCGTATTCGGTCAATGTGAGCAAGGTGCGTGGAGCAAATGTGAGAAAGATACCAGTACATCCCAGCGAGTTCTTCGGGTGCGTAGATTGACAGTTCGAAACCAAGCTGAATGATAAGACGGAATTGGCTCAGCTTCTGGTGGTATGCCCAGCTGCTGAGGGGGTAAGAGTAAGTGGCGTCACCGTTCGAGAGTGTAAGCGGAGATTCTTCACTGAGAGTACGAAGTTGCTCGTCGAGTTCTTCGGCCTGGACAAAGGTCAGTATTGGTCAGAATTGAGCATTATTGATTGAGTCGACTCTGTTTGCATACCTCCATCTGAAGGTTATCCCAATCAATAATTGTATGGCAGAGTGTCCGACGAATGCGACATCGGTTCAGGCACGCAGTTCGAAAGGTATCTACGAAGGGCTGTATGATGGTCAGAAAGTGCGGACTACGGGAAGGAGAGGCGGAGCCTAAATAAAGGCGAACACGAGACTCACCCGAGCGAAACGTTTCACAAAAGCGTCCATCCGCTGGGCAATCTGGAACCGAGGGTCCGAGGGCACCTCAGTATCGTCCATGTTAGCCTCGAGAAGCACGCTCCAAGAGAGGACAAATTCCGACAATTCGTCGTACAGAAGTCCTTTTAGCGAGACTTTTCCAAGGATAGTCATGTCGCTCAGGATGAAAGTTTGGGAAAGAGACCGGATATAAACGGATGGCTGAGGTTTTCGAGAAAGCAATGTCCAAAGGCCGACCTGTAATCGTTAAAAGATACACTCAGATACATCTTCATATGGAAAAGGCATGAAATACCTTGAAATTGTATGGGCCCCCATACTCAACGAGTTCCTGTAGGTCAATCGCATCTTGACACAACCGTCGTAGATGCGCCAGCGCATTCTCGAAACTAATCTTCACCATGGGCCGAGGGGGCACCGTGCTGGCCAGTCTTCGCTGAACCTTCACACTGAAAGCATCAGGCACAGGCTTTCCGAGAGTGTCCGATTTGACAAGGGAGGACAACTGGGATAAGCAAGAGGCAAAGTAGCCGGTCGACTTATTCTGTAAGATATCGACATCGTGGTCCAATGCGAGGAGGAACTCGCGTCGAAGGATTAGCCGGCATGTGATTGCATCACGCAAGTTTTGATCGAGAGCATCGGCTGTTGCTTCAGTCCAGGAGACCGCCTCATCGAGGAGGTCTCGAAAGTATTCCACATCAAACTGTGACAGTAAGCTGCGATTGTACAGCTGAGTGACAAAGTCCTCTTCCTGCAGAAAATCAGAAAGTGTTTAGTGTGCCTGGTAAACTTTCAAGGACCAACTTCGTAGTAGTACTCCGCGGACACTCGCGAATGGACAAAATCACAGCACTTGACGAGCGCAAGGCAGTAAGCACGGAGTACAAGATGTAACAGCTTTGAGTCCTCCTTCCAGTTAACCGACATTTCACGCGCAAACCGAGCATCTTCGAAGGTCTTCGGTATCGGCCATAATAGCTTATCGAGGTACAAGGACGTGAACAGGGTCTGTGATAGCGGATGTCCCATATGCCACGCCATCTGCCATGATACACCTCGTTCAGTCAAACACTGATGACCGCCGGGTTTACGGAGGAACCCACTCACCTCATGGCAAAGCAACTCGTCCATGATTCCCACTACTTCTTCCGGAGCCAGCTCCCGCATGATGTCGTAGTCGTCCTCCAAGGCTTGCGCGTGATTCTCTCCGGGCCCCAGGTACCCACTGTCCATCTTTGAATCCATAATCTGCCGGAATCAAGACCTGTCAGTCAATGACAAAGCTTTAAGGTTGAGTATTATCAAGCAGTGAGGTTAGAAGGATTGCAACCCACCTCCAAGGCGCCAACCGCCTCGAACAGTGTGAAGTACTCATCTTTGACGAGCTGCCCTGTTCGCAGTTCTAGCAAAAAGAAGAACAGTCAGTAAATCTTTGATATTCACCGGACAGCAGGTCGAATCAAAATATGAAAGAAAGACAGCGAACAAACACAGGCTTCTTACTCGATGCAGCTTGTGTGAATACATCTGTGATGTCGCGTGGGACCACCGACTGCGACACGACTCGCATTGTGGGGACGCGGACTTCGTTATTTGACAACATTAATATTCATCCACGACCATCTGCAGCCCGCTGCAAGGCTAAACATCTATAAAAAATTGACTTTGGGGGCGATGGTTCAAATGAGGGACAGGGCGGGAGAGGAGAGAGCGGGGAGTTGGCGGACAGTAGGTATGCGACTCGCGGAAGTGAAATCCACAGCTACGCAAATGGCCGCAGAGACTTGATGTGGGCGGAGAATGAATGTCTGTCTACAGAACTTTTTACAGCACACCCAGGAAGAATTTTACTCAACCCGACAATTGACAGGAAGAAAGTATTCCTTCTATTGATTTCAACAAACAGGCCAATATTGCTACAGTGATTGTTCCTCCCCTCGGGTAAAGCTTCCCCCTAGGCCTTTGATAGCCCAATTCGCTCCCTATATCATCGTATCGAATCGTTTTCGGAGGAAATAGTCTACTTCGACTCGGCCTGAGCAGCCTGCTGGTTGGCTTCGGCGAGGTTCTTGACTTCACCCTGCTTGCCGTTCTGTATTCAAGCGAGAAATCCGTTAGCCGAGTCCGACCAGTCATTGTACCAATCACCACCACAATCCAGCACAGCAATGATGTGTATACGAACCTCCCACTTGGTGAAACGCAGTTCCGACTGTCCACGGCGCTCAGCAGCGAGACGAGGGCCGTCTTTGAGAGATCTGCGGACCGCGCGGGCAGCGACGGCCAGGTAGCGGTTGTAGCTACAAAAAGTCAGTACCGGATCGTTGCGCATTGTTAAGTGGTATCTTGGTAGAATGGGTTATGCATACGTCAAACCAGCGGCTTTCCACGCAGCTGCCATTTTGTAGAGGGATGAATTTGGAGGGAATGTGATTCAAATGGAGAATTAGCAGTCTTCGGGTATGTGACGCTTGAATGAGTGTCGAGTTCGGAGGATCGGGAACTTCAGGTCATGTGATTCACGTGATTGGACAGCATCTTTGTCGGCCGTTTGACTACTAAAATGTTGATATGCCGACAACACTTGAATTCAAAATGTCTCGCTTTGGCCGGAGGGTAATTTTGCTGCTGCTACTGCTGCTACTGCTGCTATTTGCTCTTTGCCGGGTCTGAAAGAACTCATGACAGGGATCAGCTGGCCAGCTAGGTGCATGAGCCACTACTGACACCCTAACCCGGCAGATTCATGATGCCTCAAACCTGCAAGCACATATATGAGGAGAACAGAGCTTTGAAAGACGAGACTTCTCTCTACTCGGCATAAACCCGGAGGATATAACTCGCCGCTTCTGGGTTGATCGTGGTCTAGGACATGGATGATCTTGGACTCTAAAAAGTATCAACGAGAAGTTGTACCAACAAGCCAGCTACAATACTAGGCGACCCTTAATATTGAACCGGAAGTTTCCTTTAGTCTTGCTAGAATTTAAACAAATTTAAGAGGACATGCCTGTTTCCCCAGTTCTTGATCCAGGCTCCAAAGGAAGTGTGCTCGGCCTATATGGACCATATTCCATGCCCGGTCCGCCGAGAAACGTGCTATATAGCACTGCTCTTAATCAAGAAGAAATCTTCCATGTTCCTTCATATATCATATTCACTCACTGAACAAAGAATCTGATCTTCCTTTATGTGTGATACGCTGAGATGCAAGAGATTGAAGCTTCTGTGCAAAATGCGGTAGATGGCTGTGTTGCCCGATCAGTACACATCATAATACACCCTAGAACAACAAGCGATGGCCTGCCCTTGTTTTCACCCTTCAATATTCACTCACCTCTTCCCCTCATCTCTCTCATCCCCTCTTACCAGAATCATCTTCATCTTCTGACTCAGTGAGGTCGTTGCGGATATCTACTTTGCGACTCCGGAAGGCTTAGGAGAATATCAAAGTGAGGAGAAATCACAAACCAGACGGTCAGTGAGTATGCCAACATCCTATAATCTTTTCAGCCTTGCTGCATTCGGCCTCCAGGTAGTGTTTTGAGTCTCGCCATCATCTTAGCTTTCTCTCACTTTCTTGCCACTGCCGCTGCACAGCACTCCCTGATTCAAAGCCTTCCTTGCGCTTTTGACTATTCGTGGAACATCAGCAGATATGAAAGCTCACTAAAAGGTACAGGCAGGCATATAAACATGAGCACGCTGAGGAAGGTGTCGAACAGGCCTAAGAAGCGGGTTCTGGTTCGTTGGGATTGTAAGTATTCCCTTCCTGTCGGAGGCACCATATGACATGTTCGATCACTGGAAACCGAGCTGACTGGTTGATTTAATAGCTGACTTAGACGAGCTCCTCCTCCTGACAATACAATCTGTCTGTAACACGAAAAACGTGAAGATTCCCTGGGCAGATGTCGCTTCCACAATGGGCCACAATGTCACGGAAGGAGCAATAGTCCAGCACCTAGCAAAACTCCGCAGTCGCCGGGTTGATGCTGGTAAAGACGTCCCTCCACCGCTTCGACGCGGCGGCATTGGGGCTCCGAACAAAGCCTCAAACGCGTCTACAACATACTCTGGAGGAGCAGCTCGGCGCAGGATGCGCAACGGACGGGAATCAGACAGCGCAGCGGAGCCATCTGATCTTGCCAAAGATGCTGATACCTCGTCGGACGAAGAGTACGTGGATGGACGCCGCTCGAAAACTCAGAGACACGCAGCACACAGGAAATGCTTGAAAGTCCAACGCAAGGAAGACCACCGTGTCCAGCCCCAGTCTGAAAGTGACCAGGACGCTGACGGCAGTCCGATTGGCTCCGAAGACTTGGTGGTTTCTGGTGCCAAATTCCTTGAGTATCCCAACGACAGGGCTCGAAATCATTCCTCCCTTCCTCTGCGAAAGCGGAGCAAGGTGATTGTTCTAAGATACAGGCGTGGAGAGCAGCCTACAAGCGAACAGCCTGTCAAAGTCGAGAGTGAAGAACATACTACAGTCAGCGCTTTCCGTCCTCACAATCAGAGTCTACTTGACCAGCAATTGTATCAGGATCTTCATGGCACAAACAGTTCGAATGCCATGGGGGCGGCAGATACTCATAACATGGGTGGAAATTATTTGTCTGCGGATCACTCCAACATGGGCATGTCGTCCATCCCAGATCCAAACTCGAATTTTCTAGATTTTGCGTCCAGCCAGAGTCTGCATATGAATCCTTACCAGAACTTTTATCCCAATTCACAGAATGAGCAGCTTGGATTTGTTCCGAACACCTTGAATCATTTGAACTCTCACCAGAGTGAGCAAATGAGCATTGCTCCAGGGGAGCAAGGCATGTATTTTGACGACGTTTTTCAGTACCTACATGCCAATGATGCGCATCAAGACAGTAACGGAGCCACCTTTGCGGGTTCAGGGGACATGGATCCCTTTTTCTGATGCTTCCTGACGGGATCATATGGCTCAGCGTCAACTCTCAGAGATCTTGGGTACCCAAGTTCGATATTTACGTGGCCTTATTATGATTCAGCATTTCGTTGGCGTCTTTTCTCTTAATTGACTGAGCTCTCAGTACCGTCAGCCTCATTAAGGTTGCATAACAGTTGGGCAAAGCCGGCAATCGTGGAACAGGATTTTTCTGGCTGTTTTCATGACCTTTTGCGCTTTGGAATGAATTTGTGAGCATCTGCTTATTCTGCATCATACCCGACTAGATTCCTAGCTTTCTTCTTACCATATTTTCGTGGCTTTTCGATGCTTTTGCGTTTTGATTTGTGGCAATAAGTTCTATCAATCAGCTCTCGGTTTTTCATATTTCCAACCATTTCACGGCATGGAACTAGGAGATTGGATATCCTCTAGCCTTACTGAACATATCAGCTCAATTTCACAAGTATGATAAAGTCTTGTTGTATCTTCACGGGAAGAAAGAGGTGAATACGTATCCGTAATCATACAGAGCAGACACAGGCTATATGAGATTCAGTGGTGGGTTTTTCGGCAGCATCGCTGACAGAATAGAAGTAGATCTCACTTTTCAGTGATAATCGTTGATATTTGCATCTTATACTTTACAAAGAGACATGAGTTAAGGTATGCCATTCAGTATCTACGTATGCGAATAATGTCAAGATATTGCCCATCGGCATCTGTGTACGAATTTCCCCTTCCGACGATCCGAGGACATCCTCGGGAACACTACACGTGACCTTCTAGGAGCTTCTGCCGCCAAGACATCCGGGGATCGAGAACCGCCTGGAAAATTTTCGAGACTTTGGCTTCATCTCCCCAGCTTTCATCTCCATTCCATCTCCCTCATCCATTCTCTTCCTCTTCTCTTTCTTCTCTGCACCCGTTCTCGCTCTGGGAGATTCGATCGGGCAAAAATCATTCATCCTAACGTTGATTATCTCCTCTTCTCTCTTCTCCTTCTATTACCCTTCTTCCCATAATGCAGAGAGCTCTTTCTTCCAGGACGTCTGTCCTTTCCGCTGCCTCCAAGCGGGCTGCTTTCACTAAGCCCGCTGGCCTTAACCTGCAGCAGCAGCGTTTCGCCCATAAGGTATGTTTTCCATCTGCAATGCGCAATTCTACGCTCATGAAGCGGTGTCAAATTGGGCTTCCGTGACACCCGGAGCTCCGTCCCGATACCTTACTAACAACCATTCAGGAGCTCAAGTTCGGTGTCGAAGCCCGTGCTCAGCTCCTCAAGGGTGTTGACACTTTGGCCAAGGCTGTGACCTCGACTCTTGGTCCCAAGGGTCGTAACGTCCTGATTGAGTCTCCCTACGGCTCTCCTAAGATCACCAAGGGTATGTTTGACTCGACTTTAAATCTAGCCCGAATCGCTTTTTCCACCATATAGCTGAAACGAATTGTATACTGACTGAAATAGATGGTGTCTCTGTTGCCAAGGCTATCACTCTCCAAGACAAGTTCGAGAACCTCGGTGCTCGTCTCCTCCAGGATGTCGCTTCCAAGACCAACGAGATTGCTGGTGACGGTACCACCACCGCTACCGTCCTCGCCCGTGCCATCTTCTCTGAGACCGTCAAGAACGTTGCTGCTGGCTGCAACCCCATGGATCTGCGTCGCGGTATCCAGGCTGCTGTTGATGCTGTCGTCGACTACCTCCAGAAGAACAAGCGTGACATCACCACCGGTGAGGAGATCGCTCAGGTTGCAACTATCTCCGCCAACGGTGACACTCACATTGGTAAGCTGATCTCCACCGCCATGGAGCGTGTCGGCAAGGAGGGCGTCATCACCGTCAAGGAGGGCAAGACCATTGAGGATGAGCTTGAGGTCACCGAGGGTATGCGCTTCGACCGTGGATATACCTCCCCCTACTTCATCACCGATGCCAAGTCTCAGAAGGTTGAGTTCGAAAAGCCCCTGATTCTGCTGTCTGAGAAGAAGATCTCCGCCGTTCAGGACATCATCCCCGCCCTTGAGGCTTCCACCACCCTCCGCCGCCCCCTGGTCATCATCGCCGAGGACATTGAGGGTGAGGCTCTCGCCGTCTGCATTCTGAACAAGCTCCGTGGCCAGCTGCAGGTCGCTGCTGTGAAGGCTCCCGGATTCGGTGACAACCGCAAGAGCATCCTTGGCGATCTGGCCGTCCTTACCAACGGTACCGTCTTCACTGATGAGCTCGACATCAAGCTCGAAAAACTCACCCCCGACATGCTTGGTTCCACCGGCGCCATCACCATCACCAAGGAGGATACCATCATCCTGAACGGCGAGGGCAGCAAGGATGCCATTGCCCAGCGCTGCGAGCAGATCCGCGGTGTCATGGCCGACCCCACCACCTCCGAATACGAGAAGGAAAAGCTCCAGGAGCGTCTGGCTAAGCTTTCTGGCGGTGTTGCCGTCATCAAGGTCGGTGGTGCCTCCGAGGTTGAGGTCGGTGAGAAGAAGGACCGAGTTGTCGACGCTCTCAACGCTACCCGTGCTGCTGTTGAGGAGGGTATCCTCCCCGGTGGTGGTACAGCCCTTCTCAAGGCCTCCGCCAACGGCCTCGAGAATGTCAAGCCCGAGAACTTCGACCAGCAGCTTGGTGTCAGCATCATCAAGAACGCTATCACCCGCCCCGCTCGCACCATTGTTGAGAACGCCGGCCTCGAGGGCAGCGTCATTGTCGGCAAGCTGACCGACGAGTACGCCAACGACTTCAACCGCGGTTTCGACAGCTCCAAGGGTGAGTACGTCGACATGATCTCCTCCGGTATCCTCGATCCCCTCAAGGTCGTTCGCACCGCTCTGCTCGATGCCAGCGGTGTCGCCTCCCTGCTCGGTACCACCGAGGTTGCCATCGTTGAGGCCCCTGAAGAGAAGGGCCCTGCTGCTCCCGGCGGCATGGGTGGTATGGGCGGCATGGGCGGCATGGGTGGCGGCATGTTCTAAGCTGCTCCCGGCCCCCTTTCTTAGCCTAGCCTCTTCCATGATTTAAAGGTTTCTCTTCCCTTCGAGCGTGTCTTTGCATGTACGGGCATTTTCTGATATATCGGTGTTGAGATTTTTCTGTAATATTTCCTTTGTTTTTGATGTGTTACACGCCTTGACAGCCCCTTCATCTACTCCGACTTTCGTCCTATACCTCAATTCTCATGTCTACCTCTTCGATCCGCCTCACTTTCTGACTGACTCGATCAACATCTCCACTCCATCACATTGGGCATAAAAAGTCTCAGGGAGTCCTGTGTATCATATATGTACTTTATGTAGTCTACGGCAGCTTTGGAGCTGTGGTGGTCGCGCTCTCAATTATCATAATTGTTCACGGCAATCTCTCTTCGCGTATGTTTGCTACTCGGTCCCCAACGGCCTACTCTTGCAGTAGTGATCAAGAAGACACTAGCATGCAGCCATAGGCGCATAAAAGCAGAACTAAGCCCAAATTTCCCGCTGACCCGGTTGTCTCAACTTCGCCGAATAATCGTATCCCTGCGGGGCCATCTCATACTCTGCCACAGGTGGCAGCGGCGAAATCACCCTATCAGGATGCTGTTTCCAGATATCGTCCTCTAATTGCCTACGATACCGTCGGGAGGACAGATAGCGATCAAAGCGATTCTTTTCATGAGAGGTCTCGGTCGCTGGCACTTCCAAGGGCTGTTCTGAAGATCTGGACAGATGAAGAACCTTCTTAGCAGGAGTTAGGAGAAAGTCTCTAGCCATTCCGAAGAAAATTGCATGTGCCTTGGAAACCGTTTCCCGGAGGCTTTCGTTGAAGGCTAAGAGTAGGGCGATAAGGATGATTGCGACGGATGACGGGCCTAGAGCATGGCGTTAGAGGCGTCAAATTGGAATTCTACGTAACTTATGAAGAGGTGACTCAGGGTTCTAACCTGCAATCAGAAACATTTGACGGAAATCAGGATTTGTCTCTGTGCCACTCCATTCTCGGACATTGATGCCGAATAACGAGGTGAAGAAAGAGAGAGGTAAGAATCTGTGTCGGATGAGCAATTGGATGCGAGGCGACCTGTGGAGTAGATGCGACTTACATGACAGTGAAGATTGTAAAAACCATCACGGACCGTGACTGGGTCTGGGTTACTTCTGCCTCCCACCGAGCAAGTCGTGATTCATCAACGTTGGCTTGCTTCTGCTTCAGATCCAGAAGATTCTCTACCTGTTTCCGAGAGTCAGCGAACGGCGTCATAATGAACGCCGAAGTCACTTACTGCTTTCTGAGCCAGGATGGCGTTCTCCCTCATTTCCTGGACTTGAATGCGGTATTCGTCGAGCCGGGCCAGCGAGGCTTCGACAAAGACCTTGCCATATCCCCTGTCTTCGAAGTATCTAGCCATGGTCTTGACTGTTGTGGTTTGTTGTTCGAGAAGCTTCATGATCGTCCCTAGTTCGTCCATAATATCCCTCAATTCCAGTAGCGCAGAAAGGTCTTCTCGGTTCTGTCTTGCTACGCGCACGTCTCTTTCATCACGCTCCGCCTCGGTCATTGTTCTTCCATCAGCCGTTTTGTTGTGTTGAGCAGGGTTTGTGATAAATCCTCGACTTCGGAACCGCTTGAATGATTTGGTCAATGATTCTGTCTGGTTTTCTGTCAGTCAGCTGTTGAAACATGCGCGCTATATAGATCTTACCAAGATGCTGATAGACTCTTCAAAAATTCGGAGGACTTGTAAGTCATGGTGCAAGGTCCTGTCCAGCAAAAGAGTGGCAGCATGTAGTACTATGAGCGCAGCGAGATCACCGGCAGTCTCGAAACGCCGCGCCAGATCTCCATTGAGTTCATTATAGATACTGTTGTGTAGGTTTGCTTGTTCATAGAGCTTACCCTCGGACGTTGTAGCCTCTTGGTTGGGGAAAAAGGTCACGACAGTTCTCTGGTCCAAGATCCAAAGCCATAGCTGGTCTACCATGAGGACCTTGCCATCCTCAAAAACGTCCGGAATACCTGAATCACTCCCCGTTTTTACTGAATCCCCTAGTTCGTCCCTGAGATTAATTGACTTCCTGGTCCGCTTCCAGAGCATTTGATCGTCATCTCTGGCAGTGGTAGATCTCAGATTCGGATATCCGAACTGATCCAGCGTTCTCCTGAGGTGAATTGGAGGCTCGCTTCCTAGAAACTTCCAAATCAATTTCGTTTCCAAGTGTGACTTGGAAATCGTGTCGGGTACGGGTCTAGATCTTCCTTGCTGCAGTCGGTTTTCGACAACTTTCCGCCGTTGTGTTAGATTCCAGTATGTATCCCAATGAAGCTGGGCTGCTTTCAGCATGTGTGTCAAAATATGCGCGCGCGTACAGACTTACATATGGCATCTGCCGGACGTGGGGATAATTAGCAACTATATTGATTCTTTTGTACTAAACTTACATATAGAGCAAGCTGAGGCTCCTCCATCCCTCTTGATGGATTCGTGGACGAGGCGTCATTCTGCCGGGGATGGATGCATGAAGGGCGTACATAACGAGCGTGAGGTTCGAGGTGACGAGCTCTGATCAGCTTTGAGAACCAATTTTCCTGATTTATGAATTTGCTCAGACTGAGCGTTGACGGTATACTTAGCCCTTGTCCATGGCGATAAACAGAAAGACTAGAAACATAGAACTACTTACAAATGTGGGATTTCACGATCCGCACAGGCTTTAGCAAGTATGGAAGGCACCCATCCAGTATGTGTATAAGGAATGTGTATCCATAGAAGCTTCTCGCTTCCCGGTTCTGGTCGGTCAAAACGAGGTGCCGCTCGAGGCTTGTCTGCTCCCAGCGTGTTCCGTTGGCCTCGCTGCGGGAGCGGCACAGGAAGGAGCTCTTTATATCTTGACGTTATATTACTGTATCTTTTCTTAGCTGAGCTGTTTGCATATAAGTTGCTGAACGCTTACATACAATAGTTTCGTTTGGCTCGCTTTGACATTGGAGCTCTCACTCGGAACATCGCCCGCTTCATCACTATTGCCTTCTTTCTGAGAAGTATCTCCATGCTGTATCACAGGCTCATCTAGGTCGTAGCTGATGTGCTTGTCGCCTAACTCAAAGTAGCTTTGGGTGCTCGGCTCGCTGATATGAATTCTCGGAGAAGCCTGGGGCATGAAACTGCGACTCTTTTTGATAGAAGGTCTGGGCTTGATTTGTTCGGTTTTCTCGCTCGTAACATTCATTGGCTCATCGGATTCTGACTCTAAATGAATAGAAGATCGTCTGCTCTCAAAGCTGCTCACTGAGGAATCATCAAGAGAGCCAGGCGGCATCTTGCTAGTCTTGCTTAGCCTATCTCTGAGACAATCAGAGGGGCCTTTCGACAGATAATCCTGGAGTGCCACTTTGGTTGACCAGAGCTTCAGAGGCGTCTCCTCGCTGACTCCAAGTGCAGTATCTTCAAAGAATCCATTGATCTGAATCATGACTTCTTTTTCGACGTGCAGCGGTGCATCCGCAAAAGCAGACAGTTGTACTGCCACGGAGACAGATGACTGAAGCTCCTTAATGAAGCTCGTCCTTGTAGTTTTCTCTTGACCCTTGAAGTATGCCGTCCCTACATGGTCAGTAGCCAGAGGTATCTCCTTCTCATGCTCCAGACCTAGTAGGCCTGATCGAATGGAGGTGATTGGTACATGAACTTCGACGGTGGTGCTCGTGTCTGCGCCTGCGACATTGACGGTAGAATCAACCGTCTCCAGGAAGGTCCAGACTTTCGAATCCGCCGAGATGGCCCTGAACTGATTGGAAAGATACAAGAGTTGCTGGTGCCGAGGCTTTAAAAATTCCCGCAGATGATGTGGGATGCGATACTTCAAACGCATTATGTTACAAATACTTTGGGTATACTCTGAAGCATATAGGTAGGTCGATCCCTGGTGTGGAGTCGCGAAGAAAGCTATTCCGTGACAGCTCGACAGGGTAGATTCCATATTCGATGATGCCTGACTGGCGATGATCAGGGCCGCCTTAGCTACCAACCCACCGGTGCTATGGCAGATGAAGAAGATGGGCCGTCGACTTTTCTTAGCAAGAAGTTAGTACATGTTTCCCTCTTTACGCACAACATGACCTACTGCGTTAAGTCGCTGCTGGTGAAGCCGGTTCAGCAGATTATGAGCCAACGAATTTAAGTCGTCACGGGCACCTGGCTTTCCATGATCATAGAGTAACACCCGCGCATTTGGTATCTGCCTCGAGAGGTCCGATATAAGCCATGGTTCGTTAGAGTCTTCGCCGAACCAGGTATTCCACGGGTCCGATCCTATGGCAGGAACAGCGACGATGCTGGAAGATATCAGTGCTTGAAGCTCTACACGTCAGTCTAAATGCATTCTTAACTTACTCGACATCGGAAGAATGGACAGAATTCCTAATCGTGAATCGACCGCGCAGGTCGCCTTGGGAGGTATTCTGCGCCATATCTCAAAACTCCCTCAATAGCAGTGCTCTGACCGATATCCATCTGAAAGAACAGACGCAAGATAAAATTCATCCAAGAGCCTACCATCTAGGAAGCCATAGAAATAGCCACCATCATCTGACTCATGGGGAAGGAAGGCCGTGGCAGGTGACAGCCTACCTGCTGACAGCCTTGTCTCTTCAGCCTCGTTGACAAGGTCCATATGCCCATCACTAGCGGGAGAGTAGCGATCATCTTGTGGGCTTAGGATACTCGTAGGGCTGGATTTTGACCAATACCACACCCCGCATTTTAGTGTCGTTTGAACTTCTTTCTGAGGTCAAATCATCTTGAACACGAATCGTCTGAGCCTTGCGACTATCGGGCAATCCCCCAGGGTCATGATCGCTAGGCTCTATGTTCGTGCTGGAATTGTACCCTCCTTGACTGACCGGTGGTTTCCTGTTTCTTCCTCTATGTGGAGAAAAAAGGTGAGCATATGCAGTAGTGAGATTGTCACCTTTCCCACACGGACACGGTAGGCTAAAAATCTGCTGAGCAGGACTATTTGATGCACAAAGACAGTTTTGGAAGATGAATGATTAATACGTATAATGGGAAGTTGACTTGCTTCCAGGTTGAGTATAAGAAAAGGAGTGAGTACATTTCTGCCGGGTGGCCGAGAAGGATAAGATACGCATTGCCTCGTGATCTCCTTAAGGTAGGTATACTTCCGTGTCGAGCAGATCAGTATTGAGCCAACAAGATTTACTGAAAGTACGCTATTAAAGCACTCACCATGCTTGATAGCAGTGGCAAAATCGATTAATGAGGAGAAAAGATTTGTCTCGCCATATTGGCTACTCCGGCCCAACTTCCTCGAAAATTATGTACACGGTTTGAACTCTGCGATGCTCTTGGGCAAGAAAGACAAATAACCCCCTCTCCCAAGACGCTAGAAACAAAAATACAAGCTAGATGCTCTATAAGGCGACATGCGGTGCGGTATCATCAGACATTGATCAAAAGATGACAATCAGCGAACCCAATTGCTCGCTGAATGAATAGTTATACAATGATGCTGGTACATGAGAAGGAGAGATTAATGCAAAGTGATATGGAGTGGAAATGCGAAAGCCCGAAGGAGTTGATTCCTGAGTGTCTTTCAATGTCCATGGCCACGGGTGGTAGCCTACTCTCTGGTAGAGCGTGTATGTGGGTTTCCCGAACTTTTGTTATAGTGAGTCGGAATGAGCTTCATCGACCAACTGGCGTCTCTCATTAACGCCCCGTGCCATCTTCTTCCCAAGCTCATACGTGGAAATCATGATAGCACAAGCAGGCGCCACCTTCAAGCAACGTGCAACCCAACCGCGGAAAAGGCCTGCCATGCCTTCTTCACGGAAGATGTGCATGAGAAACTTGGGCAGAGGCAGCTGCTCAGGTCGAAGATTTTCCGGCGTTACGCTGCCTCGTAAACTCCTTGAGCCGCCATCACCCATGTGTCGGAACACCTGCTGGCGCGTTTTGCCGACGTCAAATGGAGTCGTAACGAACGCCGCCAGAGAGCCTGAGAATGCGCCCGCCAGGAAGCTTTCGAGAAAAGTCGGGGTATCTAGGTCATGATGTGGAGTCGAGGCGGACGAGCTATGAGGCAGGAGATGATGGTTGTATGCTTTCCTGCGCAGATCGAGAAGATAGCGCTTGCATTCCTCGTATCCCCACCAGTATAGTCCAGAAAATGGAACATCACGCCACATTGTGAGTGTCAATCCGCGCCAGAGAGCCCTATAACCATGTACCTGGGTCATTTGATGCAGATCCTCCAACGTCGCCTTGAAATGGCCGGCACCCGTACCGGGAGTGGCCTGCAGGCGCGTCCGAAACATCTCAATCGGGCTGATAGCGGACGCAGCGGCGATTCTCGCGACAGAACCAGCGACTAAGGGTGCGTAGGCGGCGGGAAAGAATCGTTGGATGGGACTTCGTTCATCAGCGCGTAGCCAATCGTATCCAGCAAAGTAGATGATGTTGGCTGGAATGCTCATCATCAATGTGGGACTAAGTCCACGCCAAAGTGCCAGCGTGCCTTCATTTCGAGCGATCTTGCGTAGGCCATCCAGAGTGGAGGTAAACGTCCTGCGCTGCGTTTCTTCAACTGCACAGTCGGCTACAGCCGGCGCAGAGCTTCCTATGGTCCCGGTGCCTGGACCTACCATGCATACTTGTGGATCTTGGCCGAACCAGAACACTTCGCGGCAACAAGCAGTTACTCCCAGATTTGGTGGTAAGTGTTTCAGGGTCTGAGTTGTGTGAGAGGTGTAGGGGGATGCATTTTGTACGGAAGATTGTGATTGAAGTCGGACACGGACGACGTCAAGAGGAGTTGCTGCACACAATCAATCAGTGTCTTATCGATGACAGCCTGCGAATGATCTTCGAGTCCTCAAAGACTGTGCTCAAATTTATGCAGCGAATGTAACTCACCTAGTAAAGCCGTGAGGATGCTACCACCTGTGGCCGATACCATGCGCTGAGCGATTGAAATATCACCATCCTTTCGCTCAGTGTCTGGAGCAGGAACTGTTACTGTCCCAGAAGTAGTCGCCATCGTTGTATCTTCAGAGTTCCACTGCCATGACTCTGCCGGGCTCTGTTCTAATCCAGCGGTACTCGCCTCGCGAAATCGATGTCGATCACCAGGTGCTGTGTCGATCGCAACGTCGGACATTCACTCAGAAAAGTAGACGAGGATATTATGATCCGGAAGGAGGTCGATGTAGCTTTCCCGTCCAGCACTACAATTCCTCGAAGTAATAATGATGGTCCGTCGGGGAACCTGGCAGTAAGCGGGGAGGAAAAGCAGCAATGCGTCAGAGAGAAAAAGAGGTCCCGGCTGCCGGCGGTGGCGCTTCGATCCAAATCAAGTTTGGGCCCGGAGATAAGCACTATTATTCTCGGATCCCCGCGATTTTCTCTCTGACTCTTTCTATATTGCCCACATTCTTGGTTTTATCGATCGATCGCTCTTCAGTTGTACAGGAGGCATGGCTTGAGATTCTATTTTTCTGTTGTTTATACGATAAGGTCTCATTTGTACTGCTTCTTTTCCCCAATCCGTTGCCATATTCTCGGATTCAAAGCCAAGCCTCAAGCTATCGGCGAACTACTGCGCTTATCAATCAAAGTGACTCCGCCGCTGGTGCTCATCAAGACATCTAATATCTATGACAATAATGGAGGACAACGCCGAGCTTGAATCGTTTCGACGCCAGTGGCGAGAGGAAGTTGCACGCCGGACACTACAGAGCAGGCCTCGTACTATACAACCGAAATCGTCTGTATCTTCTGCAGCCAGGCCCGGCCACTTCCCTCCTACTCGACATGCGGCCTCGGAACGTAAAGAGGAGGATGACGACCGAGAAGGGCCAATAGCGTTTGATCAGGGTGAAATTGTCCATGGTGTTGAACAGTTGAGCTTAGGAAGGGTTGATGAGGATGCTTTCCCCTCTCAGGTACCGCGAAGAGAACCTAGATCCGCCTTAGAACACTTTGAACGAGCGGTAGAGAAAGAGGCGGAGGGCAATTTGGGAGACAGCTTGCAGCATTATCGCAAGGCGTACCGAGTAAGAATTCTGGTGCTTTTTTTTGGAGCATGAAGAGGGTGACTGACTCATTTGTTTGTTCTCTAGTTGGATTCCGCGGTCGACAGGACGTACCGTAACAAGCATTTTGCTGCTGCTTGGAAGAAATCCACACATGGTGCCCCGGATACGTCAATATTGACTGGCGCTCCGGCAAGTGGTCAAGGTTCTCAAGATGAACCAGTGGTACTACCTACTCCTGAGCTTATTGCCTCTTTCGCCCATCTGCCAATTCCTCAGGCTGAGCCTGAAGTTGAAGATACACCTCGGCCCCCATGCCCTATTGCGAACATTCCATCGGAGGTCCTGATAGGGATCCTTCAGCATGTCGCGTTGATGGACCCTGCATCGTTTTGTCGGATGGCTTTGGTCTGCAAGCGCCTGGCATATCATTTCGCCCATGAACAACACATCTGGAAACGACTTTGTCAGGGTTCTGAGTTTGGCTTCAAGTCAATGCATTACTCATTTGCTTGTGACATTCATGGCAATCCAGAGTATACTTTGGGGCAACGCTATACGCCCTTTCCGTTCTCAGTACCCGTGCAGATCCCTAAGCCGTTATCCTCATGGAGTCAAGTCTTTCAGATGTTCCCCCGAATTCGTTTCACTGGTGTATACATAAGCACAGTCAACTATACTCGCCCGGGTGCCGCATCCTCATACCAGAATATATCGTGGGACAGCCCCATACATATCGTCACCTATTATCGATACTTACGGTTCCACCCGGATGGTTCAGTCATTTCCATACTTACAACGGTGGAGCCGTTGGAAGTTGTTCCTCACATCAGTAAGGAGAATGTGAAAGCTGCACGCGCAACATCCTCTCATCGGCATCATCATCAACGTCAGACGTCCGAGCCAGGTATCACTTTAGCTGGAGCCCCAGAACCGATACCCCCAGTCGCCATGTCCGCTTTGAAGGAAGCTCGTCGAGGACGCTGGCGTCTGATTAAGCCCCTTGCCGCATCTGAATCTGAAGACGACAACCGTATACCGTCGATTTCAGACTGCCCGCCCTTCCCAGTCAAGACATTAGACACCCCTGTCCTGGATCCCAGAGATGTCGTCATTGAAACTGAAGGTGTGGGTTCGAAATACACCTACACAATGCATCTGTCTCTCCGGTCGTCCGCTGCAGGGTCGAAGCCTGCCAACTCCACAGCCACACCGGCCAACACGTCAAAAAATACGAAGCTTGTGTGGAAGGGATTCTGGAGCCACAACAAGCTGACCGACGACTGGGCTGAGTTTGGGCTCCGCAATGATCGAGCATTTGTGTTCCGAAGGGTTCGAGGTTGGGATATGTGAACATATTCGTCGATGCTATGATTGCATGAACATATAGAGTACAGGTTTTGTGTCTCGGTTTTGGTATAGAAATATCGGAGGCTTTATTCGATAATTGTTCGGGCATATAGATAGATAGTACAGAGTATCTTGAACAAATCTTTAGAAGGGTGACGGTTGATGACTCCAGCTTGTTTCAATAATAAGATATAAATCAAACGGATAACGAGCAATCATATAGATGGATGCCAAGAAGCTTATCGATAAGCCTCTCCCGCAGAAAAATTTCGGGGACTCCACCGATCACCTCCAAGCACCGGATATGTTTAATCATTAGATCGGCGATTGTGCACTGTGCTTGCTCTGTATACTCAATTAATCTTTAAAAAATTTCTTTGCCAGACAAAGAGGTTCCATACGAGGCTTCGCGATGCCCGAAAGGGTACGTATCGTTTTTGACGACGCGGACGACGTCCCCGTCGCTAAACAGGTCCCTGAGACCGAAGAAATTCAAGGCTCCAAACCAGTCAAACGGAAAGACCAGCCTACAGACCACCAGAAGCAAAAAAGGAAGAAGCGAAAGCTCGAGGGGTCTACAGATACACGGTCGCAGGAATTTACGTCGTCAAACGAAACACAGCCCGAGCCAGTCTCACGCGACACCAACGAGAAGGATGCGGTCAATGGCGTCGCAAATGGCACATCCGACCACCTCAAGAACAAAAACCACAAGACGAAGAAACAAGCGCCCCAAGGAACAAAGCAGAACTTCACCTCCCTGAGAGAAAAGGCCAAGGCACTGTACGAAACCCGCAAGAACCTCCCCATATTTCCTCACGGCGATGAGATCCGGCGGAACCTGCGCACGAACGACGTGATGCTTCTGGTCGGTGAAACGGGTAGCGGAAAGAGTACACAGATTCCTCAGTTCTTAGTCAACGAGCAATGGTGCCGTCCGACCAAGGCGACGGTTGCTCAGGATGATGGATCTGAAAAGGAAATGACGGTTGGCGGGTGTATTGCCATTACACAGCCGAGACGAGTGGCTGCCATCTCGCTGGCGAGACGTGTAGCTGAGGAAATGGGGACGCCGTTGGGGTCTTCGTCGCCGGCGAGTAAAGTGGGTTACTCGGTGCGATTTGATACGTCTACGTCGCCAAGTACGCGGATCAAGTTCCTGACGGAGGGAATGCTCCTTCAGGAGATGCTGCATGACCCCTCGTTGACAAAGTACAGTGCGATAGTGGTTGATGAAGTGCACGAGCGTGGTGTCAACGTGGATCTGGTGCTGGGATTCTTGAGAAACCTGGTTTCGGGTAAAAAGGAAGGGCGAGGTGGTGTACCTCTGAAGGTCGTGGTCATGAGTGCCACGGCTGATATGGAGAGTCTGATGGATTTCTTCAAGGAGGGTCTACAGGCGCAAGGAGATACTAATACAACAAACGGGAACACTTGTCAGCAGGATTCTTCGCAACCGAATGTCGAGGGCAAGATTTCTGTTTGCCATATCAAGGGTCGTCAGTTTCCGGTCAAAACCATCTACGCCCCGGCTCCCGTGCATGACTTTGTGGATGCAGCTCTAAAGGTGATCTTTCAGATTCATTATAAGGAGCCCATGCCTGGAGATATCCTTGTTTTCCTGACTGGCCAGGAAATGGTCGAAGCTTTGGAGCACCTGGTCAATGAGTATGCAACTGGAATGGACCCTGCGTTGCCCAAGGTCCAAGTACTTCCTTTATTTGCGGCTCTTCCTCAGGTCGCTCAGCAACGGGTGTTTCTTCCCGCGCCTCCTCGCACCCGCAAGATCATTCTTGCGACCAACATTGCAGAAACCTCCGTGACGGTCTCCGGTGTCCGATTTGTCGTGGACTGCGGCAAAGCAAAGATCAAGCAATTCCGTACTCGCTTGGGATTGGATTCTCTTTTGGTCAAGCCCATCTCCAAATCCGCCGCCATCCAGCGAAAAGGTCGGGCCGGCAGAGAAGCGCCGGGACAATGTTACAGACTCTACACAGAAAAGGACTATCTCGCGCTTGATGAGACCAATACACCGGAGATTCTCAGATGCGATCTGAGCCAAGCCTTGCTCAACATGAAAGCCCGCGGTGTTGACGACGTCATGGGCTTCCCGTTTTTGACGCGACCCCCACGCGAGTCGTTGGAGAAAGCGCTCCTTCAATTGCTAAGCATCGACGCTCTCGAGGAATCTGGGAAAATCAGCTCGATCGGGCTGCACATCGCCAAGCTGCCTCTTACGCCGACCCTCGGGCGTGTCCTCTTAGCAGCATCAGAACATGGAGAAGGATGTCTATTGGATGTGATTGACATCATCTCTTGCCTCAGCGTGGAGAACATCTTCCTCAACACAACATCGGAAGAAAAGAAGGAAGAGGCAGAGAAAGCGCGACGAGACTTGTATCGGAGGGAAGGCGATCATCTCACCATGCTTGCAACTGTGCAAGCCTACGCAGCGGAGAATACGGATCGGAAGGCCTGGGCCGAAAGACACATGGTCTCTCATCGAGCCATGCAGTCAGTGATGGTATGTTGTCATCATTCATCTCCGTCTAACGCACTCTTGCTGACTGTCGCAGGATGTCCGCAAGCAACTCACCACACAATGCCGACAAGCAAAGCTCCTCCCCAGCGCCGGCGAGTCTCGCAACGCCTCTAACAACTCAGCCACTCGCGAACCCTCACCCGTCCTCATCCTTCAGAGTTTCCTCCGCGGGTTTTCCACCAACACCGCCCGGCTTGTCCCGGATGGCAGCTATCGGACCGTTGTCGGGAATCAGACGGTGGCCATCCACCCGTCGAGCGTCTTGTTCGGCAAGAAAGTGGAGGCTATTATGTATAATGAGTTTGTGTTTACGAATCGCAGTTATGCACGGGGGGTTAGTGCGGTGCAGATGGATTGGGTTGGGGATGCGTTGACTGGAGCATGATGATCATGTTGTCCGATGAATTTTGGCCGAGTGGAGATATGTATATACCCGACGATAGAATATACCCACCTGCAGTATTACAGACCACAGTATTCCGTAAAGAATTCAGGGGTATGAACGAGCACGCATTGCAGCATAAATTAATTTGGAATGAATGATCAACCCTCGCATTGTATTCCGTACATATCCCGCATTGCCCTTCGTACACTTCTTGCCGCAGACTTGCAGAGATGAAACTAACTAAGTAGTGACGAGTCTGACGACTAATAGACGACATGTCAGTGAAATCAGCTAACGGATGGGATGATCGCCGTTTAGCCTGTTTGAGTGTCAGAAGTCAAGTACAGTATTCGGTGTCCGTCGCTCGCAAAAGACGGCTGGACGGGACTCAGACATCGTCTGAAATAACATCGTCCAAGGGCGACTTCATTGGCGGTGGTTGTGTCCTTATCTCTAGGACGATTACAGTGTCAACTACTCCGTAGGAAGATTAGTGTACTGTCAAGCAAGTACAGCAGTGATGTTGTCAGCTGAGACGAGAGTGTTGTCAGAGATGACGGATGGAGATGGCGGGAGACTTGTGTATATTTTCCCCTGTGCCTGGTAAATGTGAGGAGTCGAGAGAACATTCGCTGCAAGTTGTCAATATTGATCAATTACTACCGTTAGGTCCACGTATGATATTTATCTCAAACCCAGATAATCTGGAGCCAGTAGAGCACCTACTATCTAATAGCTCTAGGTCTGGTGACTTGAATTGCCCGTTGTTATTATCACTATCACTGTGGTGTTTGATCTTCCCATCCTTGCATCATTTCCGCGTTTCTCCCCAACAGGCACACCGAGTTGGATTTTGTTACTTGTCTATGCTTTCTTCGTTGTTCAAACTACTCTTCTCTTCTGTATCAGTATATTATTCCTTTCCCCCTGGTTATCTATTAGATAGATAGAAGGCCTCATCCCAACAGGTTGGGATCCACAGCCTCGAAATCCCACCAGTGACGGCTGATCTACCACCTCCACCGAGATCATCACCCATCATCATCATCCACCCATCATTGCGAAGTCCGGCCGGATAACCAGACAGTCGATCTCTGTCTGTCTATTGTTTTCTTTTCTTTTTCCATCCCTTTGTCTCTGAAACTTCCTTTGTCCATATATACCTTTATTCCTCTGATTTCCTCTCTCACCACTGTCCACTATCCACTGCTTATCTACGCATTCCACGCGGGGAAGGTTCTCCCTATCTTATCTACTGGGTAGATCTGAGATTAGGACTCATCACTCATGGCACTTCGTCTTCCACCTCAAGTCGCTCGTCGTCGCAATTCCTACTCGACATCTCAACCTTTTCCTGAGCTTGATATTCCTTCTCCCCTCTCTCAAGTCCCCGAGAACGAATCCACGCAATGGGTGCTCTTCTCCCCGCCCCAACCCTCCACCGCCCGCACTCACACGACCTCCACTGAACGCACCCCCCGAACAGCTGGAGCATCCCGCTTGAGTGATTTTGGCTCCTTTGGCACTGCGACCCGCTCCATTCTCGAATTCGAGGGGGAGGACACGGACGGCGACGTTGAAGAGCCCCTGGATGAGGATGGAACGGAATTAGACAGCCTGGATGATGGCCTGCATGCTTTCCGGGCCCCGTCCGTCACGCAGGAGTCTACATCACGGCCGAACCAGTCCACGCCAGCGGTGCTGCCAGCTCATGATGGGCTAGGGAGTTTCCATGCATCCAGTCAGCTCGTGCAGGAGCAGTTGTGGCAGCATGAGCAGTTCAATCCCCGCCGGCGGGGTGACGTGCGCCTGAGACGTCGCTCGAGTGTACAACGTCAGTTGGACTCGATAGAGGATCGGGAACAGGTTGATATCGAGCATGAACGCTGGCAACGTATCGAGAAGTGGAGGATGGACCAGAGCCGGGCGCTCTTGCAGGAGATTGAAAGGGAAACACGACGGCGCCGCCGCAATAGCCGCGTCAGTGTGCAGACCGATCCGGTGGCTTCTCAGCCCATCGTTTCAGACACACCTGATGGTGTCCTGGAGACACTCAAGGAAGTTTCTTCGCAGCCACAGCCGGAGTCTGAGCAGGATGAGTCTTTCTGGCGACGTATCACCCGCAAGGTGATTCGGGATCTGATCGGCATCGACGACTCGTTGCTTTCTGTCATTCTCGGCGAGTCGTTGCCAGATATGGGGGTGGAGTGCAAAGACAGCAATGAATCTGCAGGAACAGACAACGCTCTCAATCTGAGCGAGACAATTCGGGAGCTGGACTCCATGCCGGATGACCAAGGTCTCTGGCAGACCAAATTACTTCAGCGGATAGCACGCGAGTTGGGCATCTTGGTCCACCAGCTCTGCGAACACCCTGGCGCCTTTACGACATATCTCAACCTCACGGATGAGATACCAAACGAGTATGCAGGCATACCACTTGGCCGTCTAGCAGAGGAGAACGACGCTGAACCGCAGGGTGCATCTGTCGAACCCGCCCTCCACACCGTGATGAACAGTCAGGATTCGATAATGTCACCGCAATTTTCGCCTACGATTCGCGATCCTACCGGCCGAGAACACGCCGCACATTGGGGCATCGAGGACGAAGAGGATGCAAACCGCGAACCACTCCCCGAGTCTGCACGCCTACAGCAAGAGAAGGAGTACTGGGAGCGCGAGCTGGACGTGATGATGGTTTTCCGCTACCTTCGCAATCGCTTCGGCCGACGAGGTAGCAACGCCGACAGCACCCACGCGCCCTCACGCCGTCACCCACAGGATGCATCTCGACGCGCGGCGATCATCCGCCAGCACCATCCTCTCGTTGCACGGGCTCATTCCCGCTCTCAAGCCCAGATCCGACGTCAGTCACACCACTCCGCGAGTATTTCTGGGCCCACGGGCATCACATCGCCGTTGCTCCGTCAACATCTCCGCCGACCTAGTTCGAGCTGCGCAAGCCAGACGAAACTCTCTGCTCTCTCCAGTCGGCGAACGCTCACCGGTTCCAGCCGGAATTACTGGGACATTGGCGGAAGCGTCGACAGCGCGAGCGCAATCGCACCCCCTGTCGCAGCCGGCGTGGGGCTTTGGGGTGACGTCTGATCGGCTTCAGACAGTCATCATCTTAATCATAATTTGGTGGTCATTTAATCCAAGCACTGTTGCACAAACGATATATACATCCACCCATCCATGTCCATTCATATATTTCGCTTATAGTGCTTCATTCAATCACGCGTCATGGGTTTGGTGCTTTAGTCCTTGTTCATTTTCGCATCTTTATTCGGCTCCGTGGCGCAGACAGAGGTGAGGGTATGTCTTGTCTTGGTGGCATAAGACGGTGTACGGTAGAACGGGGCGGCGGCGAGACGACGGCGATTGGGTGGGTTCCACTGGGTTGCGTCTATTTACCATTGATCTAATTTCTCTGGTTCATTTGTTGCAAATAATGGCATCTTGTATAATCTATTCTACATTACTTGTACACCGTATGCGGGCTTGAATTAGGCATCTCACGAGGAGCTTGACATAGGATAGGATGACTACGGCGCAAAGCCACGGACGCTGCATACCGTATACTATGATTAGATATCATGGATGGAACAGCGTCAGCATGCTATCATAATCTCGTGGTCATTACCGCTACCGCTACAGTCGAATATCCTGAACATCGAGCAGATCGAGGATGAAAACAAGCCGAGGAAATTCCATGATTAATCAACTCCGCCGTACGTGAGAGCACCACTAAATGACATCAAATCCTTTCAAGGAGGGGGTAACATGAAAACGGGGGAAGTGAAATTGGTTTTCTTTTTCATCTTTTCTCTAACGCTACCCGAATCCATCTAAGCCTGAGACAGGTTCTCGTAGGCGCTAGGGAAGCGCTTCATGTTCTCCTTGATCAGACCGTGGCCACGCAGGAACTGGACGTAGGCACCGTCCTGCTTGAGCTTGCCCTCGTTGCGGAGCTGGATGTAGTCCTCGCGGCGGACGGGGGTGAAGCCCCAGTTCTTGGAGACGATGATCTTTTGGCGACCGGGGAACTTGTACATGGCGCGGCGCAGAGCCTCGATGGCGGCGGCGCGGTTGGAGTCACGGGTGCGGACGGACAGGATGATCTGGCCGATGTTCACACGGGCAACGGTACCCTGGGGCTTACCGAAGGCACCACGCATACCGGTCTGGAGACGATCGGCTCCGGCGCAGGACAACATCTTGTTGATACGGATGACGTGGAAGGGGTGCACACGCACACGCATATGGAAACCTTCCTTACCGGCGATCTTGACGAGGTACCTATTTCAAGAGACGATTAGTGGACTGAATGGGATGGGTGCGATGTGATGCTGTTGCGGGTGTAGGTTGTGGATGGGCGGATTCAACGTACTTGTTGGCACAGATACGGGCGGCTTCGAGGGCCTCGGAGGACAGCTGCTCGTACTCGTTGGAGACCATGTGCACGCACAGAGGGAAGTCGTCGACGTTGGCCTTCTTACGTCCCAGATCGAAGATACGGATCTTGGGGTCGGGAACACCACGGTTGAACCGGGACTTAGGGTAGGGCTATATCCAACGCATCCTGTCAGTAATCATCCTCCTCACAACAATATCGAAATATTAAATCCATCCAGGCCCCAGTAAAAATCGCGACGACATATATTCCATCTCTTCAATCCTTCTCCTGTCAAAACAGGTGTTGGCGTTGTCGCTCTCCCCACAAGCGAGCTTCCCGGTCCAAAATCCACAGAACACGAAAAACTCCCACAAGAGATCAAATCCTCCATCAAGCGATCGCACGCACCTTGTTCTTGCAGTAGCGGTAGCATCTCGCGGGACGACGGGCCATTGTGACTGCTGGAAATGGGCTGACTGCACTTCCTGCGAACGGTGAGGTTGTCGAAAAGGGTGGTGTCGGGGAGTTCAAAAGGGAAGGGGATTTCTTCGCCTGCGGGCAACTCTCGACGTTGATTTCCAAGCAACTCCCGCTAACGAAGTGGCAAAGCCCTAAACCCTACACTCTCCACCAATCACGTCCCGTCCTCGCCATGACGCATTTGTCAGATCGGAGGCTTTCTACTTTACCTCCTCTACGACTGTTGCTAACCTTGCATCCGTATGGGTATGAAGAATGATTATAAATGTGCTTTTGTTGATGCAAACTCGAGTGCGCCACTCTATGAGTCAATCTTCTCTATTACTGCAGACTGTGACTCTTGTAAAGTAGAAATCGAAAACAAGGCATTGCATCATACTCCCGTTGCTTCTACACTACGCCCAGTACAATCGCTCCAGATAGGTGTGGACCTTCTTTTCATTCATTCTGTCATTATCTAAGCGGTGCTTTGTGATATCTCAAAACACCCGGACGTATAGACATAACAAGAACCTAATGTTCGAGGCGATACACCTACTGGCTGCTGAGGATGTCGGAGTCACCAGCATCGAGGATGGCCATGGTGCTGCAGCGGAAGAGCTTACCGCAAGCGGTACCGAGCTCAATCTGTAGTACGGAGATACGTCAGCCATTGTCATTTACCCTCCAAAGCCCAGATATACGGCTTCTTCTCAGGGCTGCTCCCGTGTCGCCTTCCCTCCATCGGAGAAGTACCAGCGTCGGGGCATAGCAGTGAAAACCATTGCAGATACACGTGTGACTTACGTTGTTGCCAGAGAAGTGGTGGACAGGAGTCTTGGCCAGCATGGCGTAGTACTCGAGCTCACTCTTGCGGAGAGGAGGAGCGTTGGCAGCAATGAGGACCAGCTTGGCCTTGCCGGAACGCAGGGTCTTGATGGTGGACTTGTAGCCAAGGGTGACTGGAGGAGCGAGAAATATTAGTGAATCGGTCTTCAACATTTTGGTTGATATCTCACGCACCCTTTCCAGACTTCATCACCAGAGCCAGACGGCTGGAGATGGTGTCACCGGACTTCTTGCTCTTGGGGGCCATCGTTACGCTGTTTGTTCGAGTCGAACGAAACTTTTTTGACTTGACTGAAGGGTGGTTGGAAAGGTGCGCTCCGGCCGAAGTTTTCGAGGTTGGGATGCGATCAAGAAGCGATTTTCAGATTGATTTTCATGATAATTTTCTTGTGGGTTTGCCCTAGGGTCGGATCAGAGATCCTCCGCTCCGCCAGAAGCTGCTGAGTAACCCCGCTGCTTGGTTTCATACCTTGCCCCGTAAGGTACGGGCTTGAAATACCATTACCGATATCTTACCGTTATCGCATCCATCCATCAGCAGTGGATGCTCTGCTGAGCGCTGATGCCTCGTTTATCAGGGTCCCTTTATTCTATTATTACCAGGCGTGTCCATTTAGGACCAACAAGTGTGAACTCTCATCGATTTGCTCGCATTTGAGAGTTGAAACCCCAGTCCAGAGGCAAATATCAAAGCTTGAGTGGCAGGAATCCATCCACTTTCGGATGATCATTATCTTAGGCTGACAGATGGCCACCTAGATTCTGTACGCACGCAGCAAGGAACTGCCTATGAAATCAAAGGACGGAGAATGCTGTGCTATCTTTATCTCCTGCCCAAAGTAAACTTTGCAAAGTCGTAAAGTTCGTGTTGTCTCCCAGGTCAGGGGGCCAGTCAACTGTATTCTCCATTTTAGACCCATCTTACAGTAGCAGCTGGCTGTAGTCTGCGATTAAGGTAGTCGTATCTACTCCGTACTTAGTTAGGCGTCAGGCGCTGGCTGCTGTTGGTAGGGGAACCCAACAAGCAGCTGCAACGGATAAGATGATCGCTTGTATTATTGCCGTTTCCATACAAATAATTAACTCGTCCTGTCTACTTTTCCCTCTTCAACCCCCAGATTTTCTCCATTCTTAATTCCTACTACTACTGCATTGATCCCTAACGTGGTACTTCTGGCTGCGTTTCTTCTTCGACTCCATCCTCCTTGATTCTGGTTTGTAACGAATTTCAAGGTGGGTGGCTAGATGTCGCCAGCCATCCGAAAGTTCTCCCACTAGGTGTCCACTGTGTTTTGACCGCTACTATATACCCTGATTCCCTTAAATTGATCGCTAATTTCCGGCCGTTTCATCATTGCTTCTCCTGTCCTGGGAGTAATTCTTCTTCCAACTGGCTTTATTTAGACATTATTCTCCTACGTCTCTCGTACGAATTACTTACGAACCTGACTGTCTGCATTGTCGGTGAATATGTCTGCGAACCCCCGCAAACCTGGGACTCCAGGCAGTGCGAGCAAATCCTCCACTACGGACAACAACACAGTCAATGGAACGCCGTCGCGAGTTCATTCTCGATCCCCCAGTGCTTCTACAAACGGTCTATCCCGATCGCCTTCCCTCCGTGGCTCGACTCCGGTCTCTGCGCGCGCTGCAGCCCGGAAGCCCGGTCGGTCCAACCTCAGCATGTCCAATGTACCCAAGGTAGCGGCCGATCCGTCCGAGGAAGAAGCTCGGGCTCAGAATGCAGCTCTGATTGAAGAGTTGAAGGAGCAGTTGCAAAAAGCTGAGAGTGCTTCGGAGCAGTACCGCAAGCAACTCGGTGTCCTGCAAATGCGCCTCGACGAAGCGATCAGCGAGCAGGGCAAGCTGGAGGACCAGGCTCATGAGAAGGACAGCAAGATTGAAGCTCTCAACGGTGAAATCAGAGAACAAATTCGCCAAATTCGAGACCTAGAACAGGCACACGAGTTGGAACGGAATGCCATGCTGCAGGAGAAGGAGCAGCACCTGAGCCGGGAGGAAGAAATGCAGGCGACCATCCAGCGCTTGAAAGACACGTTGGCTCAGAAGGAGATGCGAATCAACGCTGACAACGAGAAGAATGTTTCTCGCTCTTGTGAGTAATCATCTCTTCTCCCTCTCCTCCGCTATCAATAGTTGTCACTGACACGTCATTACAGCCAGTTTCCGGAATCGGTCCTCGCCAGAGGTGGATGGGCAGTTCGCGCCTTCATCCCAGATCGAGCGGAGCCCATCGCGAAACAATTCGAAGCTGCTTTTGCAGAAGGACAAACTGATCGAGTCTCTCCGTCTCGAGTTGGCTGAATCCCAAATCAAGCTCGTGGAGATGGAGAACAAAGGCGGTGGCCGGCAACACGAATTGGAGAAGGAGCTTTTGGAAGCCCGGATGGCTAATGCTCGTTTGATGGAGGACAATGAGAGTTATCAGCTACTCTTGAGCGAACGAACATTGAATGGGGACTTCACCAAAGGTGACTTCATGCGGGAAGCCTACCCCGAATCTGATGAGGGGCAGGAACCCAGCAGTGGATTGGGCTCTCTGGCTGACGAGCTCGAGTCAGTGGATGCCAAAGCGGAAACCGACAATACCCGTAAACTCGAAACGGAGATCAAGGTGCTCAAGGACCAGAACAAGGCCCTGACCCTGTACATTGAGCGCATTATTAGTCGTCTCCTGCAACATGACGGCTTCGAAACCATCCTGGACAAAAATGAAACCGATCCTCCAGCCACCGCTAAGCGGGTATCTTCAATCGACAAGGACCTGCCCCCGACGCCTCCAGAGAAGGATGACCCATCTTCCCAGACTTTCCTGCAGAGAGCCAAGTCGGTAGTCGCCGGCCAACCCAATCGTCCTCAGCATAGATCTCGCCCGTCTACTAACATGCCACCCCCGACGAGTCTCCCAACGGCTCACGAAAACCCCGAAACGGCACCGAGCATTCCCATCAATCGGGCACAGCGTGGCCATCGCCGCACTCGATCAGATCAAGCGGATGTTGCAGCGGCAACTGTTGTCGGCCAGATCTATCCTGGACGCAACTCTGGCGGGCCTATGAGCCCAACCTTCATGGGCCCCGGTTCTCGCCAGAGTGTCTTTTCAGGGGCAAGCTATATGTCAAGCATGAGTACCCGTGCGCCGTCCCTCTCCAGCCAGCCAGAGCGAGGCCGAATGAGTAGCTCGAACAGCGTTACCAGTGACCCGCATGATACGGCTTCCACTGGAGCGACCTCCAATTCACCACGCTCCAGCACCGGCATGACAAACTACACTGGAGCAGTCATGACTCAGAATAAACTACGCCCACTGCGGCTGGTCAGTGAGACAAAGGCGGCAGAGGACGAGGAGGCAGCTCGGAAAAAAGCGAACCGGGGAAGCTGGATCTCGTGGTTCAATCGTCCAAATACCGGTGACGCAGCGCAACAGCAAACATGAGCTGAGCTTCCATTCCTGACTGGCGACACTCCGTCACGACTTCTTTTGCACTGACTCTCTTACTCTGGTTGTCTCATATCTCCGCTTCTGTGTAATATTGTTCTCTTCTGCTTCTGGATATGTCGCCCTGTTGAGGAATACCCTATCGTTCATGATGACTACCACGACTTTTGAAGCTGTTTGAAGATTGCTTCCATGTGCCGCTCCTTAAAACGATAACAGGAGGGCAATTTTGTTCTTGATTCTGGCTGTGATAGCCACTCTCAGGATTCTTCTTGTCTTGGATGATTCCTTTGCACTCGTTAAATCGTTGATGGCCCATTTATCATCGGGAATATTCCCATGAGACTCTGTCTTTTATGCCCCACTGTCCTTCATGAACATATGACTGATATATTAGTTTCAACATAGAATGTTTGATAATATTTTGCTTAGTATTCATTAGTGATTTGTGGATTCAGAGATTCGTTCCAACAGCATACAGTTCCGCTTCAGTGCCTTTGATATCATGATTTACAGTAAATTCAAGCTTTCCCCCCCTCTAAAGCTATTCTTATCTGGAACATGTTTGCTTATTCTTCCAACTGTCGCTGGTTGACTTACCAACTCTCAGCGACATAGTCCGGAATAATGTTGCGGCGGAATCCGAATTGCGGACAGCTTGATAGTACTCCGTAAACAGCAATTCATTTTGAACTTCGAGACCAGGCGATTTCCGACACATTTCATAGCTCTCTTCCTGAAAAGCATCGCCCATCATGGTCGGTTCTCTGTCTCTCTTCTCCGTCAATGCCGTACTGCTCATGTCGGCTGATGATGGATCTCGCATCTTCGCCAAATACTACTCCCCGCCTCATCCCCCAGCTGGTGCTGCCCCCAATTCAACAGATTACCCCGGCGCCAACCCCTACCCCACGCTGAAAGATCAAAAGGCCTTCGAGCAGGGTCTCCTCGAGAAGACCAACAAGCAGACCAGCGATGTGATCCTCTACGACAACCGGGTTGTTGTCTTCAAGATGGAGAGCGACGTTATGATCTACGTGGTCGGAGCCGCCGAGGAGAACGAGGTTTTGCTGTACAATGTTGTTCTGACATTGCGAGACGCTCTGGGCATTTTGTTCAAGTACGATTCCTCGCTGCTTTGGCAGCTACATGCTCAATTGGATTGTTGTGGCTAACGTGTGGTCTTTCAGGGGCGCCACCGATAAACGCACAATCGTCGAGAACTACGACCTGGTCGCGCTGGCTATTGACGAAATCATTGATGATGGTATCATTCTCGAGACGGACCCTGTCATGGTTGCTTCGCGTGTCAGCCGTGCCCCAGCACCGGATGCACCAAACCTGAAGAGCATCGATCTGTCGGAGCAAGGTCTACTCAATGCTTGGGAACTGGGAAAGAGGCGTTTGGCAGAGGGATTACGGCAGATGTGATTGCATCGATTTCCCTGGTTGTTATCATATAATGGGCGTGCACTTGTTTCTTCCTTGATTCTTTGCTTTCTGGCTGGTCCTGGCGTGGTTTTGTGTGCGCACTTGTTGCATTATGACTTGTTCTTACCCTTTCTATATTGCCCTCAGGCTACCGACTTACGCAGATCTGAGGATTCGATAGAAATACTCCGTTTTGTTACATGGCGAAGAAAGTGGCCTAGACATGATGAATTCTCGATTGGACGATTACGGAGGCCACACACCGACGGTACCAAGTAGTCTTTAAACAAGAAAGTCATCAGTATGCCAAAGGAGGATTTGATATGAAAATATCCGAATTATGGCAGACAAAAATCGGTGATACTGGTCAAACTGCTAAAGCGATCGGTTTACTGTGCCCCGCATACGTCACGTCTTTCCACACATTTCCCCAAAAGTTCTGATAATCAAAGATCATCTTCACCAGAATATCAACTCTACCAGGAGTCCCTGGTCAACATCCTAGGAAAATGAAGCAACGATTCTCATCCTTGGACGTCAAGGTACGTCTGTCGCAGCTCAAAGCTCCATGTGAAAGCCGCAGACTCTCACACGACGACAGGTCATTTGCCAGGAACTCGCCTCTGAGCTTGTCAACCTTCGAGTTTCGAACATTTACGACCTTTCCTCGGTATGTCAGGTCGATTGAATAGATAATTAGATGATCGGATTATACTGATCTCCCCACTAGAGGATATTTCTATTCAAGCTCGCCAAACCCGACCATCGCAGGCAACTCGTCGTTGACTCAGGTTTCCGCTGCCATGTCACCCAGTACTCGCGCGCAACGGCAACCGCTCCCTCCCCGTTCGTGACTCGCATGCGCAAGTTCCTCAAATCGCGAAGAGTCACATCGATCGAGCAGATCGGCACCGACCGTGTCATCGACTTCTCCTTCAGCGATGGCATGTACCATATGTTCCTCGAGTTCTTCGCAGGCGGCAACATCATCATCACCGATCGCGAGTACAACATTCTCACGCTATTCCGTCAGGTTCCTGCCGGAGTGGGCGAGGAGGAGATGAGAGTCGGGCTCAAGTACACGGTCACGAACAAGCAGAATTACCACGGTGTGCCTGAGATCACGTTGGACCGGATTAAGGAGACGTTGGAGAAAGCGAAAGCGGCCTCCGCGCAGGAAGGAACGGCGCCGAAGAAGTCGAAGAAGAAAAATGTGGATGTGCTGCGGAAGGCTTTGTCGCAGGGATTCCCGGAGTATCCTCCTCTGTTACTCGATCATGCCTTTGCGGTCAAGGAGTTCGATCCGGCAACGCCGCTGGAGAAGGTTTTGGGGGATGATGCTCTCATGGAGCAGGTCGATGGTGTGTTGAAGGAGGCCCAGAGTGTGACGATCAGACTCTCAGCGAAGGAAGATCATCCGGGTTATATCGTCGCAAAAGAAGATAAACGTCCGGCTGCGGAGTCGACTGCTGGTACTGAGGAACCGTCACAGAAGGCAGGTCTTTTGTACGAAGATTTCCATCCTTTCAGACCTCGCCAGTTTGAAGGGAAACCGGAGGTTAAGATTCTCGAATTCAGCAGTTTCAACGCTACGGTTGACGAGTACTTCTCCTCGCTGGAGACTCAAAAACTGGAATCGCGGCTCACAGAACGCGAGGAGGCGGCCAAGAGAAAACTTGATGTGGTCAGGCAGGAGCATGAGAAACGGCTCGGTGCCCTTAAAGAGGCACAGGAATTGCATGTTCGCAAAGCGGCTGCGATCGAGGACAACGTCTACCGGGTGCAGGAGGCAATGGATGCTGTGAATGGGCTGATTGCCCAAGGCATGGATTGGGTAGAGATCGCACGTCTGATCGAGATGGAGCAGGGTCGAGGGAATCCGGTTGCCCGGGTCATCAAATTGCCATTGAAACTCTACGAGAACACTATCACTTTGGTCCTTGGGGAAGCCAGCGAGGAGCAGGATGAAGCCGATGAGCTCTTCTCGAGCGATGAATCTGAGGAGGAGTCTGAGAGCGAAGAGCAGGAGGCAGCTCGGAAAGCCCCTGAAATGCTGACTATTGACATTGATCTCGGACTCTCCCCGTGGGCGAATGCTACTCAATACTACGAACAGAAGAAGATGGCCGCGGTAAAAGAACAAAAGACGGCGCAGTCTTCAACCAAGGCGCTCAAGAGCCATGAGAAGAAAGTGACCGAGGACCTCAAACGGAGCCTCAAGCAAGAGAAACAGGTCCTCCGTCCAGCCAGGAAACCTTTCTGGTTCGAAAAGTTCCTGTTCTTCATCTCGTCTGAGGGCTACTTGGTACTGGGGTATGTGCTACGTCTGTCTCTGTCGTGCTATGTATACGATCTAACTTTGACAGTGGCCGTGACGCTATGCAGAGCGAGTTGCTATACCGCCGTCATCTCAAGAAAGGCGATATTTTTGTGCATGCAGACTTGGAAGGCGCTCGACCGATGATCGTGAAGAATAGACCAGGAACACCGGATGCGCCTATTCCGCCGAGCACACTCTCACAAGCAGGGAACCTCTGCGTTGCCACATCGAGTGCTTGGGAATCCAAAGCAGTCATGGCAGCGTGGTGGGTCAATGCGAACCAGGTGACTAAAACCACCACAGGCGGCCTTCTACCGACAGGAGAATTTGAGGTCAAAGGTGAAAAGAACTTTCTCGCCCCATCGCAATTAGTGCTTGGGTTCGCAGTCATGTTTCAAATCAGCAAGGAAAGTTTGAAGAATCACAAGATTCACATATTCGAGGAAGCGACTCCAACGGAGCCAGTGGCGAAGGAAGGCGAAACGACGAAGCAGCTTGTGGACAATGAACAATCTGCGGCGCAAGAACAGGGGCCAGCAGAGACAAATAAGCCTGTTGCGGACGATTCAAGCGAGCAAGGCAATGAGTCAAGCTCCGAGTCAGATGATGAAGAAGTGAACGCGGACTCCATTCCGCCGAGGAACCCTCTACAGCGGGGTGTATCTGAGCCTCTTCAAGCCCAAGAGGGTACATTAGAGGAGCCTTGGGGTGATAATGAGGGCGGCGAATATCAAGGTCAAGGTGAGGCAGCACAAACTTCACATGGAGGGACGGCAGTGGAGGGCGGAACAACTCCAGCGGAGGAAGCGGAGTCTCCAGGAGAGAAAGCGGCAACGTCTCAAGACACAAGTGAACCACGCCAGTTGAGCAAAGAAGGATCGCTCGAGCCCAGCACTGACTCGAAAGAAGTCAACCGGACTCCAAAAGCCACAGCGAACGGAGTACCCGCACCGGTGAAACCGGCAAGTTCGAAGAAAGCAGCGCCGGCGCCAGCAAAGGGAAAGAAGGGCAAAGGCAAAAGAGGCGCGGACAAATATGCCCACCAGGATGAAGAGGAGCGTGAGCTTGCCCTTCGCCTGGTAGGTGCCAAGAGTGCCAAAGCTGAGAAGGCCGCTGCCGCCGCCGCAGCGAAAGCGGAGCGCGAGCGAGAAGCTGAGGCGCAGAAGAAGCGGCGGAAAGCGCAACACGAGCGTGCTGCAGAAGCAGAGCGGAGACGGCAAGCCCTTTTTGATGAGGGTGCAGCTGA